ACCTAATTAAATTTACAAGCTTCTGCACAGCAAAGGAAACCATAAGTAAAACAAAAAGACAACCTATGGAATGGGAGAAAATTTTTGCAAATGAAACCAACAAAGGCTTGATCTCCAGAATATATAAACAGCTCACATGACTTAACAAGAAAAAATAAACCCAATCCAAAAATGGGCAGAAGAGCTAAACAAGCAATTCTCCAAGGAAGAAATACAAATGATCAATAGGCACATGAAAAAGTGCTCAATGTCACTAATTATCAGAGAAATGCAAATCAAAACTACAATGAGGTATCACCTCACACCAGTCAGAATGGCCATCACTCAAAAGTCCACAAATGACAAATGCTGGAGAGGCTGTGGAGAAAAGGGAACCCTTCTTCACTGCTGGTAGGAATGCAGTTTGGTGCAGCCACTGTGGAAAACAGTATGGAGATTCCTCAAAAGACTAGGAATAGACTTACCATATGACTCAGGAATCCCACTCCTGGGCATATATCCAGAAGGAACCCTACTTCAGGATGACACCTGCACCCCAATGTTCATAGTAGCATTATTTACAATAGCCAAGACATGGAAACAGCCTAAATGTCCATCAACAGATGACTGGACAAAGGAGATGTGGTACATTTACACAATGGAATACTACTCAGCCCTAAAAACCGACAACATAACATCATTTGCAGCAACATGGATGCTCCTGGAGGATGTCATTCTAAATGAAGTAAGCCAGAAAGAGAAAGAAAAATACCATATGGGATTGCTCATATGTGGAATCTAAAACAAACAAACAAAGCATAAATACAAAACGAAATACTCAGACATAGAGTACAAACTTGTGGTGGCCAAGGGGGCGGGAGGTGGGAAGGGATAGTCTGGAATTTCAAAAGTGTAGAATAGATAAACAAGATTATACTGTATAGCACAGTATACAAGATCTTACGGTAGCTCACAGCAAAAAAAATGTGACAATGAATATATATATGTTCATGTACAACTGAAAAATTGTGCTGAACACTGGAATTTGACACAACATTGTAAAATGATTATAAATCAATAAAAATGTTAAAAAATAAAATCAAAAAAGTCAAAAAAAATAAAATTGAAAAAATAATAAAAAAAAATGGGAAGACATCTGATAAGGAAAGGAGAAGGGTCTGAGCTAGCCCTTGGAATACACACAGAATCTACATAAGAGAATGTAATGGCCATAAGCATAGTCTCTGGAGTCAGTTGGACTTGGTTCAAATCCTGGCTCTCCCACTTACAAGCGTTGTAACTCTGGATGAGTTATTTAACCTACCTGTGCCTCAATTTCCTCATCTATAAAATGAGAATAACAATAGGACACCTACTTCATAGGGCTGTTGTGAGGAATAAGTAAGTTAATGCATGTTAAATGCTGAGGACAGTGTCTGACACATAGTGAGCACTACATACATGTTATTGTTACTAAGAGAGGAAAGACCAGTACATTCTAGCCAGAAGGTATGGCCTCAGCAAATGTGCAAAATGGGACTACGTCAGGCTTATTTAGAGGGTTCAGGAAGGGGGAACAGTCTGGCAAGAGCAACAGCCATAGCCTACAATGACTGATTAGAGGAAGGGAAAGTGACTTGTCAGACACCAGTATCTCCGCTAATAAATAGCACAGGGGACTGTGAAACACCCAGCTGAGGCCTCCCCAACCTTTGTGGCCCGGTTCCCATGGCTGCTTTTTCTGGAAGCTTCAGCAGGTGGCATTCTACCTGCTTTGAGCACTCACAGCCTGCCCTTACCGCCCTTTCCAGCTGCTCTAGATGATTTCCTTGGAGACTTGTACCCAGATAGAGGCTCACGAGGAAACATATGGGACAGACTCTGGGATGTAGAACTTACTGCTCTGTGACAGCCAAACTGGGTGGCAGGGAGGTGAGTCCATTGCCTGTGAGGAGCAGGACACGGAGGTGTGGCAGAATCCCCAGATCACAGATGGCCTCCGCAGTCAGGCTGTTGAAGGAAAGGTCCAGGAACTATGGTGCAAGGATAAGAGACGGGGAAAAAGAAGCACTACTCGTAACAATGATGCTCATATATGAGGCGGGAGCTGGTCACTTTTTTTTTTTTAACCTTCCAGAGGGCCCATCACCCACAGGCTAAAACCCTCTTGACTCTCTGGGTTAACATTCAAGGTCTACTAGAGTCAGTCCCATCCTATTTGTCAGCCTTAGCTCCCACACTGCAAGCCTTTGTTTATCCTGTGGTGTTGGCCAAGGTGACTCCTCCCCATTCCTTTCCTCCCCTGATCTAGAAATCTTACGTGAGCTTTTCACTCAACCAGGAAAGCCCTTTCTCCATGTATCTGAATCTAAGCCTGAAAAGGCTGGCTCAAAAGCTGTCTCCTTATAAAACTTTTCTTAATTCTCCAACCACATGGGCTCACCCCTCCTCTGACTTGATATCTAGACTGCTCTGAGAGTGTTTTTCATGGTTGACCAGGTATCTGTGATAACTGAGTCTAATACTGGTACACGGATGTGCCCAGCAGTCTGGCACACAGTGGTACACTAGACTATAAACTCTCTGAGTTGAAAGGCCTTGGCACTGTATTGCTGTATCCTTACAAACTAGCATAAGACCTGGCACATAGTAAATGCACATTAAAAAAATCAGCTGAAATGAATTGGCTTAATAGAGGACAATGATCCAAACTGTCACCTCATCATAAAGCACCTTCTAACTGGCCACCTAGATTCACGAGATAGTTGACTGGGGCCAGGGGGTCAGTCAGGAAACAGTTTCTCTCCGCAGAGACAAAGGTAATTGTGATGAATGGTATCACCCCAGTCTTTGTTCTCTCTCTTCTACAAGAGCCTCTCCGGACACTCATTTTAGTTCTTATGTACAAGTCTGCTCCTTTCCCTCCTGCTCCAGCCCCACACACCCATTGATGCCTATTGAATGGGGCATCTTATCCAGTTGGTGCAGGGGTAAGGTTTTCAGTCAGCTACTCCAATGTCACATGGTCATTCACACATATACATAACTGACTGCAAGTCACTGCCGAAGGAGGTCTGACTCCACTGTAGTACTTATTTGATGGGCTCTGTAGACCTGGGTTTAAGCCCTGGTTAGTTGTGTGACCTTGGGCAAATTACTTAACCTGAGCTTCCTTACCTACAAAGTGGAAATGATAATGGGTTTTTATGAGGAATTATGTAGATAAAGTCTTTAGCATGGGGCCTGGTATACTGTAAATGCTTACTGTTGGCTGTCATGGTCATTACCATCCCTTCTTCAAGGCATCTATACTGAAGGCTTACTTTGAACCAGTCCATGCCCTGGGTGAGCTCACAGCCTAGTTGGGCAGCTAGATACATTTATAAGTCTGTTAAGAAGCAATGATGTTGGGATAGATGTTTGAGCTCTACCAGAGGTCCAGACAGGCTTCATAAAGCAGATGACGCTGAAGCTGTCCTCAGAGACTAGTCAGTATTCACCAAATTGTTAAGGGCAAAAGACATACAGCCCAGTAAGTGGCATGCATAGAAGTCAGGAGGCAGGAGTCAGCTTTGCTTATCTGAGAACTGCAAATGGTGTAGGTATGACTAGAGTCCATGGTCTAGAGAGGGCTTGATAAGACTGTACAGGCCACAAAAGATGCCCGGCACCAAAGGAGTTCATGCCGCCATCAGCAAATTCTCAAACCTCTTAAAGTTCTGAGTATTCACACAAAGGGGCGAGCCCACTTGGCAGGGGCAAAGAGAGAACGCTTCAAGAAGGAAGACCCGGAAAGCTGGCTTGGATAAACACAGACAAAGATGGGGATAATTCACACCCATACGTAAGTAGCCAACAAAACCTATTAATTCTACCTCCTTAGTATCTCTCATACTTGTTCCTTACAATCCACTCTTCATATAGTAGCCATACTGGTTTTTCTAAAATACAGTTCGGACCTTATTACTCCTCAGCTACAAATCCTTCAATGAATTCCCTTTATCCATAAGATAAGGTTCAAAGTCCTTAGCAAGACTTCCAATGCTCTCTATGGTCTCTCTTCTGTTACCTTTCTGGGCTCATTTATCCCCACACTCAACTGTGTCTCACTCATCCCAACCATACTGAGCTGTTTCACCATTGTTCTCACTCAGAAACTGGCAATCAAAGATCTGTAGGCCAAATCCAGCCAGCTGTCTGTTTTGTACGGCCTATGAGCTAAGAACGGTTTTTACATTTTTCAATGGCTGGGGGAAAAAAAAACAAGAAGAATAACATCGTATGAAAATTATGTAAAATTCAATTTCAGCATCATAAAGCTCTCTGGGAACACAGCCTTGCCCATTTGTTTACATACTGTCTACAGCTGCTTTCCTTTTGCAACAGCAGAGTTGACTAGTTACGACAGTTATGACTAGTTATGACCACATGGACTGCAAAGCCTAAAATATTTACTGTCTGGCCTCTTACCAGAAAAAGTTTGCCGACCCTTGCTCTAGCTGCGTTAGGCTATTTAATGTTGGGTCCAGATTTGCTTTCTGTGGAATCAAGGGCAGCTCAAAGAAATGCACAATCTTAGAACCACAGGTCACAGAATTTCATAGCTGGCCCAGGACTTACAGAGAGGAAACTTAAGTTCCAGAGAGAGTAAGTTACTTGGCCCAGAAGGTAAGGCAAAGCAGTGGCAGATCAAGACTAGAAGCAAGGTCTCCTGACTTTCAGGGAAGGGCAGGGCTCCAGCTGACTCTTTTTCAGACCTGTATGTAGAGAATCAAATCATGACAAAGCTGTTTTTCTAAACTGACTCCTGAAGAGTTCCACTTGAGGTGACAGCCTTTCTGGCAAAAAGGGACAGAAGATTCCTACCTTGGATGCTGCATCTGCTGAGTCACATCAAGTTTTATTACACATCAAAGTATTCATTGCTGCGAGCTGTAAACTCAGGACATTTGACAGGTTTATCCTTTTTCTTAAAGAGCCTCCACAAACCATAGAGATGAAAACAAATGATTGGCCAAGAGATTTCGTATTCTCATTTATAGTCTGCATCTTGACTTTGGCCTACTCTTTTATGTAAATAATTTCCCTTGGGTAAAGCTAGTCTGCTGAATAAATAATCTTCATCAGTTGCTATCAAACAATGAAGTAGGGCCTCCAAAAAGTCAATCATGATCCAAGCTAGTCAGCTGTGGGTCAGAGCCTGTAGGTATGTCCCCTCCCCACTGCCTACAGGCACGTGAAGTAGGGGTTTGAAATGGTAGAGGGGAAGGAAGATAAGTTGCCTGGCACAATGCACGACACACAGGAGCTCAATAACTATTTTTTAAAAAAGCAAAATAACAAATTAATGAAAGTTTGTAAGACAACGCTCCCAGGCCTGTAGGTGAGGGAAATGGCTCTCTGTATCTCTAGAGCATCTGGAACTTGTTCCCCACCGTCTATAATAAACTCTAGTATAAAATGTTTTTTAACTTAGCACAAAATTGCTTCAGTAGTAAATTTACTCTTGCTCTGTCTGTTTTACTGAGGAAGCAAAGCTCTTGAAAGTCCAGTAAGTATGAGACCCACCACTATCTCAACTCACTGTTATCCTCAATATGACCAGAAACCACGGAGAGAAAGTACCATTACATTCAGTATAGCATGCTTTAAAAATACAAAGACATATAATCCATTTTAGGAAGACTGCCATCCCAAGTGGTCAAAACTTCTTAAAACTTATTTGTATTTATACAAATAAAATTAACTCTTTAAAACTCACTCTTGTGGAAGGTCTCCCTCTCTCTGTCTCTGGCCAGACCAAGTTAAATGAGGTTTTTACGAAGAATGTCTGACCCCTGATGTTTACAGATTAAATTATGTAAGTTACCAGCTCTTTGGGGTAAACCCCAAGGCTCATGACATGCAGAAACTTTGCTGAGGTGTGAGTCTGAAACTTTTCTATGAGGCCAACAATGTGGCAAAGAGCCCATTACTTGGTGAGCCTGGCCAGATGCCCAGCCCCACGCCTTGCTCAGCTGTGCTGTTCTCTACTCTCCATGTATGCAGTGATTCTCAGGTGGTGACAAAAGCTTTGTTTCTTTGTGAAAAATCACCTTAAAGTTTTCAAGGATGTTGAAGAGGTGATTAATTTGAAGTATGAGAAAATGTATCAAAAATGCATGACTACAGGAAATTCAATGAAGGAGAAAGCCAAGAATGCAAACTTTTTTTTTTTTGTATTTTTGAATCTGGGGTTTAGAAAACAGCTATGGATGTACAAATGTCAAGAGTCTGCTCTAGAACTCACAGAAGCCCTACTTTATTTTACATTCATCTCTGGGCCTATGGCCTACAGCCTTATCCTAGCTTATTAGAACCAATCGGGCTCACTCAGACCAGGATGGGTCTCCGGAATCAGTCCGTAACACCTCTAGTTGAGCTGGTCCAATCTGCTGTTCCTAGCATTTAATGTCCATGACTCCTTAACCCACACTGGAGCCAGATCTCCCCTCAAACTCTCTCTCCTATAATATGTTTAAATTCACTTTTCTGCACAGACTTCTTTGGAGATGACCTTTGGCATTTATTTTCCAGAACCATGCACCATGGCTAGAGATATAATATATTCTCATCTATTTGCCACCACCACCAACCCCACTTCCCTCCCCAGAGGAACACCTGGAAGCAAGGGTCTGGCTACAAAGGCCAGAGAGCCCCTTCCTAACAGTTATAATCAGCAATCTCCTCTACACCCATTCCTTACAGGGAAACAGGTGGGCACCAAAAACTCCCTACCTCCAACTTACTTCTAAGGACTTAAAGTCTCCATATTTCACGTAGACTGTTTTGATGCTGTTAAATGCGAGCTCCAGTTCCTTTAAAGCTGGAAACGTGTGAAATGCCTCTACAAGGGGAGGAGAAAGAGAGAATCTACAGATTGGGAAGGATTTAAGAGAAAGAATCTAACAGTTATTTACTGGGTCCCCACTGGGTTAGGCCAGGCACTGGGTAAAGTGTTTTACATACAAGGGCTCTAAATCGCTAACAACCGTGAAAAATAGGGATTACTACTTTCATTCTACTGCTGAAAAAACAAAGGCTCAGCTAGACTAAGTGATTTGCTAGAAATAGAATTGCTGATAAGTGGAGGGGCCAAGAAATGAATCTAAGTCTAAATCCAAAACCCATTTTAAAAATTATATTATTTCTGATTATAAAAGCAAAAATTTCCACCAAAAAATGTAAAAATAAAAAACATAGAAAAATAAAAATTCCCTTAATCTCAACACCCAGAGACAACTATTCAAAGTTTCACCTATAATACTCGAGACTTTTTCTCTTGTGTATACTGAACCACACACACACTTCTTACAGAATGGGAATCATAATATACACATTGTACTGTGACTTGTTTTTTTCCCTTAACAATATGAGTTAAAAGACTGTTTCAAATCAAAACACAGATCTGCATAATGTCTGAATTATGTTCTATAGTATAGACATATCCTATTTTATTTATCCATTCCCCTAGTGATAATTGTTAGACTATCTGGATAAAAGGTAAGAACACTTTTCTCCTTCTGCTTGAGAACTGGACCTTGGGTTAACTTTCTAGCCCTCTTCCCCTGGTAACCTGAAACAAATAACATGGTGACTATGTCATTAGGCAATATTGCTGTGGTAAAAATGACCCCAGATGAGTAAATCACATCTGAACTAGGAGAAACTATAAATAAACTATAAATATCTGACGAGGACATAACTGTGGGCTTCTCTGTGCATGCTGACTTCTATAACTGGACATATTCTCTGCAGGAACTCTGGGAGCTACGTCTACAGTGTTATAACAGCTCTTTGCTCCTATGAGGAACAAGGTTTCTAAGCCAGACATAGAGTTTAACAAGGCTCCTGCATCTACACAATGAGTCTCATTGTCTTGGACCCAAGCTGGGGGCCATAGAGTACGGCTCATGGATGGCTACAGGAACTGCTGTGAGGACCCCACTGAAGAGGAGCTGCTGATGCTGCACTCCAGGCCTTCTAAGTGAACCTGGTGTCAAGTGTGGCCAACAGTGGTTCTGGGAGTTGGAATGTTCTGTAGAGTCTAAGAGAAAGACTGCTTGGTAGGTAGAGTCTAATAGAAAGACGCACTTCCAGGATATTTCCAATGAACAGCCTTGTACAAGTATGTTTCTGTAGAATAAATTCCTGGAAATGGAACTACGAGATTAAAGGCAATGCCTGTTTTAAGAGACCAAATTGCCTTCCTAAGATGCTGCACCAATTTTTTACACTTGAATACGAGAGCATCCACTTCTCTACTGATGCTGGCAGTCATCAGTCCTTCTCATTCTGTCAATATTTTATAGGTAGAAAATAGTACTTCGATGCTGTTTTATTTACTAATGAGGTTGAGAGTCCTTTCATATACCTGCTGGCCTTTGTTTTTCAAGCCCATGCTCTTGACAGACCACGCTGTTTCCTCAAGAGCAGGGACTTGTCACATGCTTCTTTAACATCTCTTAAACTCACTGCATTCAAAACTGAACTCATCCTATTTCTCCCCAATCCTGCCTTTCCTGTAGTGCTGTCTCACTGAATTCCTTTGGTTCCTCCTTTTCTCTCCATGTCCATTAGTTACCAAGTCTGGTTATTTCTACCTCCTCCTGAATCTTTCTCTTTCTCACTTTCCTCTGCCCCTATTGCTACAGCCCTGGTTGAGGCCTCACCTCCCATCCCCTGGAAAAATGAAACCATCTCCGAGGTTTCCTGGCCTCCGTTTTATAATCCACGCTTCTCACAGCCACCACCCAGCCTCTCTATTTCAAAGCCTTCTGAGGCTCTCTTTTGCCTGCAGGATTAAGTCCAAGTCATTCAGGGCCCTTGATAATGTAGTCCTTACCTACCTTTCTAGACTCCATTCTCCCCTGCCTATATCCCTTGCAAACATACAAAGCTCCTTCAGGACCCCTGATCAGGCACTGCCATTCCGCATCTGCTCTGCGGGTCTGAAATGCCTTCTTACCGTCTACTTCCTGAGTCACTCCTATTCATGTGTTAGGTCTCAGCTTATGTACTCTTCATCTCAGAAGTTTCTTCTGACACTCTCGGCCAAGCTGATGACCTGTCATTTTCTGATTCCCCCTATCATTGCACTTACCATATCCTGGTATAACTAAGCTCACCATAACAGGAACTGGACACTGGTTTCTAAAATCTAAGCAGGCACCCAGCAGGGGTCGCTGTGGATTTGCTGAATAAACAAGAAGGCTTCACACTCCTCTAGGAGCTCTCAAGAGGCTTGAAAATGTTTCGTAAACAGTACCCCCATTATCTGCAAGAGATTGGTTCCAGGATCCTCCATTCTCATCCCCCACCCCCAACTCACCTCCCAACCCCCACCAAAATCCAGATGCTCAAGTTCCTCATATAAAATGGTACAGTATTTGCATTTAACCTGTGCACAGCCTCCTGTACACTTTAAATCACCTCTAAATGACTAATAATACTTAATGTAAATGCTCTGTAAATAGTTGCAAATACAATGTAAATGCTATGGAAATTATTGCCAGTGCATGGCAAATTCAAGTTTTCTTTCTGGAACTTTCCGGAATTTCTTCTTCAAATATTTCCCATTCATATTTGGTTGAACCCACAGATGTGGAACCCATGGATGTGAAGGGCCAACTGTACCTATCCCGTCTGAGTCTACAAGGCATCCTGCCTTGGGAAGGAAGAAAGGAAGGGAATTATCTCCACTTACAGACAGAGAAGCAGCAGCTCACAGAGAAATGTTTGAAGTAGGTAGTGCCAGCTCTGGGCTGGAATCCAGGTCTGTGTGTTCTCCCACACCTAGCCTATTGCACCCCAGAAAAGAGATGCATGGCCAGTCACTGATGAACTGACAGGCAAGTTCTAACATGAGAGACTGGCTGTATCAGCCAAGAGGCAAAAGGTAGTTTTCAGGAAGAAAACTTACCTAGAGGCAGCAGGTTTTCTGAAGCATTGATGTAAATCACAGAATTAAAATATTTGAAGTCCTTTTCCTTAGCCTGTGGGAAGGCATTTCAAAGAACACAAGATTAGCTCCCTGCCTGGAGGCCTTGCTGGAGCTCCAAAGCTGTCCTAAGAAGGAGCAAAGACCTCAAGGTATAAGACACATCCTGAGCACAAGAGCAGCCACTTGTTGAGAGCGGGAAGGGCTTTTCTGCTTCTTTTTTTTTTTCTATTATGAAATAATTCAAATGTCCAGAAAAGTATAGCGAATGATACTCTGAAGACCCATGAAACCACTATCCAGCTTTAATAAATCTGAATATTTTGTAGTCTTTGCTTCAAGTTTCTTTAAAGAAATAAAACATTACAGAGAGCTGACCAGCCCCCCACCAACGTATCCCTCCCCAGTCGCATTCTTCTCCTTCTCTCCCACTGTTAACAGCTATTCTGAGTTGGTGATTATCAGTCCCATACCTGTTTATACTTGCATTACATATATGTGTATCCATAAACCACATATAGTATTATTTACATGTTTTAAAACTTTATATTAAATGCAATCATCTTGTAGATATCATTCTGCAACCTGCCTTCTTCACTCAGCACTATGTTTTTGAGATTTACTTTTGTTGATACACATAGCTCTAGTTCACTCATTTTAACTGCTGTGTGGCATTATACAAGCACTCTGTCCTCATATGCCACGGAAGGCCTACAAACCAAAAATGTATGCCATTATATGCAGTATATACACTGGCTAACGGTAGGCCACAAAGGTGGCTCCAAGCTACCTCTTAGCCAATGCAACAAAAGAAACATTACTCATTACATAAGTCACAGTCTGTGAGTTAAGAACAAACCAGCATCTTGGGAGAAGCATCATTACTACTTCTGGCGCTGAAACCTGAGAGAAATATCTCCCTTAGGTTCTTCTGATTGGAACTCTGTCACACAATGAATCATGCCCAATAAAACTCTAAGCAAACTGAAGCCACTTCCATAAGGCTACTTATTTCCTTTCACTCACCTCACATGGGACAATGGTAATACCAAATTTACAGCAAAATACTGTGTCTGAATGTTGTTTCCACCCAGCAAGTCCTTGTCTGACTCTCCCACT